AATGAAGAGACAATGACCCTACGTTATTAAATTTGCATGCTCTCTTTATCTTCAACATTACACCACTGTGTCTGGGCCGCTTCGGTTATGCCAATAATGACATGTAACGTATCTTCTTCCTTCATCCGCCAAATTTGTTTTTTAACTAATTAATTTACTACTTCATTACAAGAAGATTTTAGAAACGAGAATTTTACATATCTTGTGTATATTTACGTATGATAGTCCTAGTTACAGCACACTAAAATATTTTGTAAAATTTTCTCAATAATCTGCAAAATTGATTATATATCGCATTTTATATGAGTTGGATCCTATAAAAATTTTAGGGTGTACAATAAAATGGATACTCCGTCATCGGAAGGAGCGGTTTCAAGCAGGGACGTTGAGGAGAAAAGCAAGCACGAAGAGTAGCAAATTAGAAGGAACTGCGTAGCTAAATTGAAAATACAGTACAATACCAAATATTTCGATTCACAAATTCAACTGAAAAAAGAAACACAACAGAGAGAGTATCATTCAATTTCAAATACATATTTATCAATAAATTTCAAGATACAGTTCGGCCATAGCTTAAAGATGCCAGGTAGAGATTCTTTCCCCATTTTTCCTGCATAAGAAAAAAACACAAAACACAACATATCAGTAATTGTTAATGGCAAAGCAGAACCAAAAACAAGACCAAAAAAAAAGTCGCAGGAGATTTGAGCAAAATCTTTAACTCACCTTGACATGTGTGCTGGGAAACTGAGAGGTACGCAAGGTCTCTTGTGTCTCATCAGCCAGTCTACGCCGTGGGATGCTTAGAATTAAAGCAGCTTGATCTGTTGTTGCTGCTGTTGATGTAATTCTGTATCCACCATCCCAACGCCTGTGGACGCCTTCACTCGGATACAGAAAATCCAGTTCCACAACCTGCATAGAGAGATAAATTATGAACCAGAAATAAAAAAAAAAAAAACTGAAAGAAGGGAAAGTCATATCATGAAGACAAAAAGTCTAAACCTGTTCACTATAGCCAGAATTGCGGGACATAACAACACCCCATCTGCTACCAGCTGTTGCCATAGAGGTTACATGGAAGCCTTCTCTCCACTTCTTGTTTATCCACTTGAATGGAAATGAATCGCTTACTTTGTAAGACTGCTGTGAATACGCCGTGCCTTCAATACCCAAATTTAAAACAAAAACATCGAATAAGCACATACGTGAAAGAAGCATATACTTTTTTTATGAAAGCAGGAAAACTGTGTATGTACCTTTTGACATGACAACTAAGGAGCTTCCATTAGTTGCACCGGCAATAGAACTAATGTAGTAATTCTTCTCCCACTGTTCCATTATCCATTCCTGAGACAGAACATAGTTTACTCTCATGTAATGTAAGACCATTTTGACAGAACACATACCTAAGAATAATAACAAATAAACACTAGACCTACCTTATGCAAGAAGACCGGAGAAAGTTCATAGACTTGGTTTGTGAAGCCAGTTCCAGCATCCATTATTAATGCCCATAGATTTGAACATGATGATACACAGCTTATTAACAAACCATCTGCGATACCTCTCTCAATATGCTGCGCCAGCCTTGTATCAGCTACATTATAGTGATACCTGGTTGCACAAGTAGATTGTTAGTCTCAAATTGTTTTTACTGTATACACATTGAAGCTAGGAATCAAACTCACAAACGCAATCTCAGTTAGAAACTTTGACTTCCAACTGGAGGTAGCGTACGGATCGAGGACATTAAAAAGTTAACTGACTGTATAATTAACCATGAATATTTTTTTACCTCTGTTTCATTGGTTGTCTGGCATTGTAAATCGATATCCATTGTGTTGCAGGGACTCCTAGACGGACTTTTTTCCTAGGGGCTTCTTCTTCTTCCCCAATGCTCAACCTACCTCGCTTCTGTCCAACTTGAAAAATGATCTAGCACCAATAAAAAAAACAATATAAGAGACATCAACCAACAACTCCAAGGTGGCTACGTAATAAGAAGAATAGCAAAGAGGTACAGTATGTAATCGTCACCTTTTGAGCACCTTCTGTGTTAATAGGCCTAATTGCGGGGTTTTCCCCCAAAAGTTCTTGAAAAAGAGATACTAACTTTCCATAGTTAGGTTCCTCGTCAAATTTCATATTTACCACGATCTCAAGAAATTGTTTGAAGGGAGGGGGACAAAAACAACAAAGCATATCCGGAGATGTTGCCATCTTCTTTTTGCAAACGAGGAATGATTTGTTATCTCCCTGAAAATTGAGCAAGACAAATGATTAGCAGAGAAAGAAGTATGCTAACAATATCATTATACCAAAAAAAAAAAAGTTTGCAGTACCTGATATCCTTGCCATGGCAATCTACCTCGGTGAAGGAAGATAAGTGTATATGCCAATGATTCGAGATCATCCCTTCTGCTAGCAGTTCTCCCCAAATGAGCATGTGCACTTGCGTATCTAACTGTCCCCCTACAAAAAGAAAGCAGATAAATATTCAAGAAAAAAGTAGAGTGAATATAAAGATCAGAATTACGTAACAGTTGGAAAATTATTACCTAAACATATCGGGACGTTGGTCATATTCAACATGTTGTCCGTTACCACCTCCTTCTCTCCACTTTGTTGCTGAAAAGTTAGTTAAAAAGATGAGAAAGGTAAATAAGTACCTGGAAACAAAACAGTAATTAAAATCAACCAACCTAGTCCCAAATCAACAAGAAACAGCTTTTTCTCTTGAGGCGTTGAAGGCTGCCCGAGTAGGAAATTTTCAGGCTTAACATCTCCATGCACATAACTGAAATCAAAGCAAATGATGACTTGTTAGACTAGTTAGCAGAGATAGAACATACAAACTAAGAGGTACCGAAACTCAAAATATATATAAGAAGACACCTTGGGCAACCAAGCTTTGGAGAAAAACAAGAAAAAAAAAATCAATTACAAACCCTTTTGCATGCATCTTTTCAAGGATGGACAGTGATTCAACTGCAATGCAAGCTACCATTTCCGAGGACATTCTGCAAAAATATTGGTAAATTGTTAGTATGGTTTCCTGTCCCAGGCATCATTTTTCAAACAGGGAGCAACAACACCTTCATGTCGCATTCCCAAACGAAACCAAAAAACTTTAAATATGGATACGACAATAAAGTATAAATGAAGAGATAAGAACTCTCCAAGGTTGTGTAATGGAGACTCACGCTTGCCCTGAAGTATTCCATATATCCCACAAGCTAGGCCCGAGTATATCCATAACCTGAGGTTAAAAAAAACATCAACAATCAATCATACTGCACGAGAAAAGCAATAAAGGAGAGAACAGAAGCGAGGGATCCTCCAGTACCATAATATAATAGTCTCCTTGCCTCCCTTTGAAATGTACTCTAGGGACTCCATGGCTACCACCCAACGTACTGCTCACCAAAAACAAAAACCTTAATTCCAAATACATCTTTAATAAAAATAGTAAGAAAAAAAAAAAAAAACAAGAGAATCAAACACCCACTTGTACACCTGCCACTCATGTGGAGGACCATAGTTACAACCCTTGCTACTTCGATGCTCAAACTTCAAAGCAACCTACACAACAAAACATGAGACAAATGTCAACAACAATCCTAGTAGTACTAAAACACACAAAGAGTTACATCACCTCCACGATGCTAGCTCCAGCACTACGATCACTACCACCACTAATACGCCTTCCTACAAACACTTGCCCAAACCCACCTTTCCCAAGCTTCCTCTCAACTTTATAAAGCGGTGATCCTCCAACTTGAACCTTTAACAAAAAAAACAAACACAACCATTAACCTCATTATCTCCCCCAAAAAAAAAAAAAAAAAGTTTTACCCTTTCAGGAAAAGGAGCAGTATTTCCTTCTTCCTCTTGAGCAGCCGCCTTGTTAGAGCCACCACTATCATTCCCAATCGCCATAACTTCGCCAATTACCTCTTTACCCTTCTCCTCAGGGACTTCCTCTTTCAATCTCCTCGCTGCTAATCTCGTCCTCGGCCTCTCCGCAGCAAGAGGTTTATCCGTAGGGTGTTGATTGGGAGCTACACGGTTACGGCGGGCTCCACGGCGAAGCTCAGGCATAGCTCAAACCTCCATGAAATCGAGACGGGATAAACCGAGAGTCCGATCATTATAGTCCGATCGAAACGAAGGTCTTGCTCATTTCGGATCTGGTGAGCGGTTTGGATTGTGTTAATATCGGAAGATTGATTTTTTTTTTTTTTCCGATGAGGGAATTTTTTGATTTTTGGGAGATTAGGGTTTCGCCGGTTTGAGGAAGATAATGGAGNGGGGGGGGGGGGGGTGTAAAACGGTTGCGTTTTATGCCACGTCGGCTTTTACTAGTCTCTCTGTTAGGACAAATAAATAAATGAGAATTAAATAAATTTCCTTTTTTGTAGAACAAAGTTCCTTTTATGTGAAAGAAAATAATTAATAATGTGAGTGAATATGTATATATAAATACAACTGGCCGTGAGCTGCGGCTCTTTCATGCAAACAACCGTTCACGTTTTTGTTACGATATATAATGTGATTATAATTTTTCTTATTATATTCTGAGTTTTTTTCCATATAAAAATATACAGAGAAATCTCTATAAATTAATAATGTTAGAATTACCCGAAAACTAAAATTTTAATTAATTTATCGATATATTAATTGAACAAAAAATTCAATTTATATTTTTTCTTAATATGTGTAAAAAAACTAAAACATTCAACTTAATATTTATAAAAAAAATTGTTTCAGAATAATCCATTTTTTTACATATTCAATGTTTGACTTAAAGATAAATTTGTTAGAAATAAAATGTCTCTTCATAAGAATTCTTGGAAGAGAACAACATATTTATGTTCCAATGTTTTTAATTAGCTAGTGATTGGGCTAATTATCATTCTATTTTTGTTTAGTATCACTAACCAAATAATGTAATAACAAATTAATTGATGATTTTCAAATCATTTAACATGGAAGAATGAGTCTTCGCGCCCACTTGTTTTGACCTAAAGTATGGTGGTCTGTTTCATGCATGTAGAAACATTCACTTTTTATTTTTTATTTTATTTTGTAGATGAAATCAAACCACCAATATATAAAAACATATAATTAATTACGTTAACCCCTCTCAACGATCAGACACATGCAACAAAACAAACCCCAAACAACAACAGTTTTAAATTGCAAATGTTACTGAAGTAATGAAAATCACAATAACAAAATGCAAAACACAATTATACTAGCTAATAGCTAGTAGTGCATGACGTAACAGCTATACTCAACGGTAGCATCTCCTGTCTTTGGATCAAACCACATGGTCCTAGCCTCGACATAACCTCTAGCGAACCGGAACAGTCCACTTCCTCCAATTACCGGCATCTCCCTAACCTTAGTCAACACCTCGTTACGACCAAGTATAGAGATCGTACTTCCGTTATACTTCCCTGTCTTGAACGCAAAGTTCATAACCATAAGCGCAGACGAATCACGCTGCCCTACAGCAGCGTACATCCCTTGTGCCTGGCCTACCAAAGTCGAGTTTATAGCCACTTCGGTGGTTAGTCTGTTATCGATCACTGTGACCGCTCCAAAGAAGGATGTGTTGGTGAGAGGAGGTCTGAGCATGACCGAGGTAGGGTTTGAGCCGCTTTGAATGTCGTGCCAGTAGACACGGAAGAAAGTTAGTTTCTCTTTACGGAGGCCTAGGAGTTTCCGGTCAATGACTTTTGCAAAGTCATCGCCGTTACCGGATGAGATAAGGGCTGCGAGAAGGAGGATTTGGGAGGCGATGACGAGGATGAGCTTTGCCATATGTGTGAATTGTGGTATGAGATTTATTAATTTCTTGTTTGATATATGTTGTCTATATATAGAAACACTACAAGAAGAATAAAAAGACAAAATATGGGAGGAATCAATATATGATTTTTATTTGCGCCATAATTCGTATTCGCTGGCCGGAGAAAAAGAAAGAAAAATAAAAGTCGTATGAATTAATTAAGCAGCCAATATTATTAAGCAGCCTAACGAACTAATTATCTAAAAATTATTTAAAGGATGTTAATTAAGCCCTTAAAGAGTTGATTAGTTTAGTTTGTTTCTCTTAACGTTTGATAACAAAATTAATGTTCTGAACTAAAACTAGTTTTGATTGTCTGTAATACTAATCTAAATTATTAAAACAGAAGTACAAATAAAATTTCACCCTAAATTTTCTTCAATAATTACAAACCATGCCACTGACTTCTAAACAACTTCTTTCGTGTATCATTAATTCATAAGTTTTCTCTCATTCAACAACGGCCCATAACCAATTTTTAACCTATTTATTATTTTGTACATATAACATTTAACGGGTTCCCCAAATAAAAATTGATACTACAAATTATTTTATTATATGAGTGGGATCCAACATATAATACAATATATTCATCTAGGGTACAAATTAACTTTGGAAAATTTTGAAATTTCGTTCTAAGGGTGAAAGTATATATACAAAGTGTATTAAGTTGATCAATTGACGTTAGTATAATAAAATATTAAGAGCATATACCAAAAAAGTTTTGTTCTTATCATAACCAAAGGTCCAAAGGTTTTCGTAATATTGCAAATATCATTTTTTGAAGAAATAATATTACAAATAATATTAAAATATCGTTAAAAAAAAATAATATTACAAATATCGTGCATTATCTAAATGTCAAACCAAAAATTACGGATACACTAACCGTATCATCTACTTAATTCTAAAAACGATTAAATGAATGTACACAAAATCTGAGATTTTTCAAGTATATTCTCAATCTTACCTTCTTCGATTTACAACTAATGTAGACAAACATTTAAAATTTGATTGAAAAATATATAAACTCTACTCACGCATTGGTTATATATCAAATCCAATCCTATTGGCTGGAAAAACAATCTGTTTTCAAACAGATTATTAATGATCTTCACCATGTATTGTAACATGAAATCAAATAAAATAAATTAAACAAGAAAGGTTAGTCATACCAGATCTTGAAATACAAAAGAAATTTAACTTTTATGTTTTGGATATTCATATGAAGTTCAAAACATCATCTGGAAATACAAAAGACGTTTAGAACTTCATGTTACAGAACTTCGCTTCCCAAATAACAAAATACACTAATACTAACGTTGCTATATGACTATGATAACCAATGAAAAGTAACAAAACTTGATGTTTTAGTTATTCGGTTTAGAAATTTGAAGGATGTACACATTCAGAAATATGAAACCCGATCAATATTTTTCTTAACAAGCAATTAACACATGCAAAATTTGTTTATGCCCATTATCAGAATCTAATATTTTGACTCAGCTATAACATGATAAAATATCTATATTATTAAAATTTAGTTACAAAATGAATGAATCTTAAACTAACAGTTTAATTACCATTAGAAACTAATTATTCATGTTTTTGGTAATTTAAACTAATTAAAAAAGAAACTAATTAATCATAATTTTCAGTACTAATTATCATTTGTTATATATAGTCACTTTATATATTTTAACAAGATTTTCCTTCAAAATAAAAAATGAATACAAATAATAAGATATAAAATCACTTTTACCATTTCATAAGTATAAAAATATCATTTCTCTATGTCCAAAAATAAGTAGTCCATTTATGTTATATAATAAATTTATCTTGATTGTACTTTAGAATATTAGGTTATTCTAACACTCTAATATTTTCAAACTTTAATGTATACTTTACCAAGTAAAAACACAATAAAAAAACATAATCGTATAGTTTATAAATGGACGCTAAACACTTTAACAAGATATACTAATTTCAAAATCAAATAATGTATTAATTTATAACAAGAACATAAACAATTATGTTTTATGATATTGTTAAAAGTGAAAAACATATAATTATGAAAACAAAACACCCGCACGGACGTGCGGGTCAAAGGCTAGTTTATACTATTAAAGCAGATGACTGTTTTGGTTTCTGCCCCTGAAGTTTCTATGAAATTATAAAACATTCCTTTTCACTTCCTTTTTAAACGAAATCGTGGGCTGAAAATAACAAATAACTTCAAACAGCAAAGCCCAAACGAAATGGGCTTCGAACATCTATACTTAATTCATATTTACAATTCTGTTTTTAAAACAAAATGGCTTCAACCCCTATTTAGTAACCGTAATGATATTTACAATTCTATTTAGTAACCATATACCCTAAACTTTAATCAAACCCTAAACCCTATTTCGTTTCATATTTGCTTTGCACATCATCTTTCCCAGCATCATTGCATGATCCTGCCAAATACATAAGAACAACACCTTTACACATGAACCAAACAATATCAAATATCTATATTTATTTTCAAAATCATATATTTTTGGGATATTTATTCAAAACATATTACATTTACACATGAACCAAACAATATCAATAACCAAATTCGGTTTTCAACCTCATAAATTGTCGGGATATTTATTCTTAACATATCATTGAATATTCTCTGTAATTGAATATTCTTTTTAATTGTTACCAGCAATAAATTATGAAAATATATATGCGTAGAAATAAAAGTATAGAAACAGAAACCAAAATATTTGCTAACTAATTAATTATATTTTCCAAATTTGCCAAATACTAATCCTAAAATTTATTCTTAACATATCATTGAATATTCTCTGTAATTGAATATTCTTTTTAATTGTTACCAACAATAAATTATGAAAATATATATGTGTAGAAATAAAAGTATAGAAACAGAAACCAAAAGATTTGCTAACTAATTAATTATATTTTCCAAATTTGCCAAATACTAATCCTAAAATATATNTTCTATACACAAAATAATCTATTCTGTTCAAGTTTATTTATGGATTTCCCAAATACTAATCCTAATCAATATTCGATACTAAAGAGAATATCCCCAAACTTTCTCCCCAAGTTTCTACTAAAACCTAACCACGTCGCTTAAATCTGCTTTATATATAAATAGACAGCACCCTATTCATGTTCCAACCCACACATTCGAACATAGGTCTACTGTAATTTACAAACCTACAGAAGCCAATTTTCTGATCCAGCAGAAACGCAAGAAATGGTCTCAATTTCCATTCAAAACCATTCAGCAAATTAAACGAACAGATAAGGTTTGGTTCTCTTTGCTATTTGTTATTTGTAATACACAATATTAATACAATTTTTCGTTTTTGTAGAGTGGATATTCCAGAGTTATTTGTACTGTTTATGCAATTACTACCGATTGTCCATGGTATTATTGTGCTTGTGTGGTATGCAACCATGAGGTTACGAAAATGACTATTTCATTTAATGATCTGGACGTACCAGACTGGTGGTGTGAGGGTTGCAGTTGTATTGTTACCAAAGTTACACCAAGATAATTAGGTTATTCCAAAATCTGATCGTACTATATACTTATTTATTACTTATTTTATATTGTGTAATGCTAAAACAATGTTAGTGATTATTGTTTTCAGGTACAAGTTGAAATTGCTTGTGCAAGATCTAACAGGTGAGTCAAACTTAATGCTTCTAGACGCAGCCGCAAATACTATTATCAATGCCTCTGCAGCAAAACTCTTAAATGGTTCTTATAATAAGGTTATACTATATTTAACAGATCGAAAATCCTGAATTACCAAGTGAGATTGTGGAGATCGTAGGAAAGACTTACGGCTTTGGGATATGCGGAGATGATGAAAACAATGTTTGTGGAGCAGAAACGTTAATTTGAAGCCTTGAAAGTTTGGAATCTTGATAACATTCTAAGGAAGAGAATCAAGTCATTGCACCAGTTATCTACGAAGAAACAATGCAGTGTCAGAGGAATTGAAAAAAATGTCTAATTATGAAGCCAAAGACAAGAAGAGCGGCTAATTCTATCCCGAAGACAAGATCATCATCAGTTTTTTTTTTATGTTTTACTTATGCTATGGTTTTACGAATTGAATAATGTTGTTTATGCTTTCTTTCTACTTTGGTTTTTTGTGGCTATTATGAACGCATCAATAAAGTTTTCGATCGAACTACCAATACTAAAATCAAACTCCGGTTTCTACCAATAAATCTGAAATCTGGTCAATTGTAACGAACATAGTATAATATATATCAGGAGATGACTCAAACAACTATCAATATTGAAGATTATTGTCGGAAGAATTTGTGTCTTTTGACTTTATCAGAATCCGATTTTTTTAAAAATTAATATTGACGGGTCAGTTTTTTTAGTCAATATACTTTTGGGCCCGTTTATAGTATCTCGCATGCCCAACTATTTTTGCACCAAATCGATAGCATTGCCATATATTTGAACCAATTTTAATATATACTAAACCAATGTACCTAAAAACCCTAATAACTCGACGTGAAGAATTATTTAAGCCGCTTTAACAGAAAATTCTTCTTTACAAAAACTTTTCACAGAGACAAAACCGGGAAATATGGCCAACGAAGTTCCTTTGAATTCATTGCAATACCAATGTCCAACTCAGGAAAAGGTATAATAATTTTATTATTGTTTGGCCCACAGACTTTAATTACATCTTCAAAATATTATTGTGTTTGAAAATATGTTTCAGGGATCAATAGTCAAACATTTTGTCCATCTTGATGATCAAGTTAAATCCAAATTTTTGGTATGGATGGAAAATAACAAATTACGTGTTGATGTAGAAGATTTTGGGAATTCAGATCGCAGTGCCAAAGCAAATTTTGTTTGGAAGCCAATTTCTAAAACGTGGGAATCAGAATTTGAGATTGTTCGGATCACACGGACAACTATATGTGGCTGTCTCCACTCTCCAAAGTGACTTCTAAGAAAGGTTTGAAAATTTTAATTGTTGACAGCGAAGGCAAGCCTCAACGCAAAACAAAGAACGTGGTCTTTAGAGAGGTTTTCGATACTCTATGATTTGAAGTTTTTTATTAAGTTATTTAGAACTATAAAATCTAAATTTTTGGTTATTTATTTTGACTCGCGTATTGGTTCTATATTACTAAGTTTCTCTTAAATTGTTTTCGAACTTTTGGAAAAGTTCGATACTTAAAAGGATTCTAAATTTTTGATTCATGATAAGGAAAACACAGAATTGATGAGGCTCGAAAGCCTCAGTACCATGCAATGACTGTTTCTAACAAAATAACACATTAAATGCCAGAAAGTCAGATGCCAGCTTCATCTCTATAAATCTTTAACTTACACTGCACTCAACTGTAGGAAAGAGCTACACTGCAATCAAGATTCATCAAACAAACTTCTGGATTATTTTCCTAACTACCAGTTTAAGTTCGAACCCTAATTACTAGGATGTGAAGAAAGCAGAAAATGCACTTACTGTGGTTTGTACTCCTTTGCCGTAATATCGAATATCCCATGTCCTTCAAATGATTAAAGCTCCTTCTCTATTAAAGGAAGTGCTCGACGTACACATGAAGCATGTCTATACTATTAAGTAAACTCATTATTGTATAAAACTTACATGTTTCTCATGTATAAGCCAAAAAATAAGCTAAAGTCGGAAACTTATCTGTTTACTGCTCTATCTCTGATAATAGTGTCTCATTATATCACCTGAAAACAAAACGCAGTTATATGAACAGCCTTTTATGCTACTGGAAAAGGAAATTTTGAGAAGATTGTTAGGAAATCATTCCAATCTAACCTGAATAAGAAATCTAGAAAAAGCAACGTGTATATTTAGAATTTTGTCTCATGTCCTCATCAAGAATGTAGATATGTCTCAAAAACCTTGACTTCTCAATCTGCCTCAAGTCCATCATCATATTGTTGTGTATCAGAGTATGAAGATAAAGAAAACATATTAGATATAATTTTTTGTATTCTACAAACCTATACTATTAAAACAGATTTATTATTCAAATATAATAGATTTAATTGGAAATAGCCGTGTATATTTAGACCAGAAAACAAACCGTTTAATTCTTTCTCATAATTTCTTTCGGACAAACGATTTTAAATTAAAGAATATTGTACAAAACATATTATTAAAAAGTACATCGATTACCCTAAACAAACCTTTACATGGAGGTTATGTTTATGTCTTTCCTTGGTCGATCAAGCTCTGGATGTTTTTCCAGATCGATTTCACCGAATTTCACATGCAAAACAAATCAAAATAAAATATATATTGATGGTAAGTTCTTTAAATTAATCATATTTAACCGAATTTCACATGAGATTACCTATACCATTTCGTTGTATAGATCGGAAAGGCTCATCTCTCAGTCTTCGATTTATCCTTCTCGATTGAGATCTTGAATTAGACGAGATCTGTAAAAGAATGAAATACAAAACTTAGAAAGAAAGATCGAACTTTAAAGGTAATCGATTTAGAACTACTAAGTGTATATTATCAAAAAGAAAAGTGGTGTATTATATGTAAGAAGAGATCGGAGAAGACAACCTTCTGTCGGTGGATCTAGATCGACATATCGCCTTTCTGGTTCCAGAGAGAGAGACGTTTTTTTTTTTTCAAAGCGAATACTTGTTGGTAATAAAAATTCAGATGTTGTCGGTAAACAACATATTTGTGTATTGTGTTTAATCAAATAGGCCCATCGTATGTTTCCCAGATTTGGCCCATTATCTGTTAAGGTTTTTAAAATATTGGGTCCTTAAAATTATTATGGATTGAAATTCATATTAAATTTTACAGCCTATTATTAAGTTTGGTACAAATAATTTATATATATTATTTGTATTCAAATTTTATTATTACATTTGGTAAAATTCATAACTGTATAACTAATTCTAATTAATATAATTTATGAAAATTACCAAAAAAATAGATTAAATTAACATAAGAATCAAAAAATTGTATAATCTAATTCAAATTAATATAATTTATAAAAATTACCAATTACATAGATTAAAAAAAAGAAAAAAAAAACAGCATTTTGACAATACAAATATTTTGTATAGATTAAAAATTAACGTAAACATAAAAAAATCAACTTATAACTAAAATCATTAACACACTTGGTATACATTTTATATAAAAACACATTTGTTATAATAAAAAATAAATATCACATGAAACATACCCGCGCTTCGGAAGCGCGGGTCAAAATCTAGTTGTAAATTAATTTCGCTCAGCTAATTTAAATTTTAGCTTCATCTAGATTTGTTAAAGGCTTTGATTCATTTAGGATTAAACCATCTAAGTTATAGTAATACTCTTGGGTGAGGAAATGAAAAATTGTCAATTGTTCTGTATCATATTAAATGTTGAAACTCTTCCAATGGCGTCGACTTGTTAAATTATCCCAATACTTATGTTATTATTTTGAGCAGTTTGTCATATTTAATTGGATCTTTGTTCGCCAACTAGTACATGTTAGCAACGTGGCAGTGCACGACTGGTTACTATATGGGTGGGGTTTATCGACATTTTCATTTCGTTATGGTCTACGGGTCTAGTTCATACTTCCAAGTCTCTTTTAATCAACCCGTTATATGATGATGATTATAGATGGTTGGTGGTCATTATCAAAGTGTTTGGTGTAGTTTTAGACTTTAGTTGCTGTCACCAATTGAATTTTTCTATGTGTCCTAATAAAATGTGCCTCTCTCTAATAAATAAATAAAAGCCCACAATATGAAAATCTGAACCCAAGATAAGTACCCATCTACTGAAAGCCTAGAATAATATACCAGAATTAGTTTGAAACGAAAGAGGAATATTTTATCAAAGTTTGAAGATGGTTCATGCCAAAGAGAGATCATAAGGGCATCATCATCGGTGACATTTAAGATAAAGCTTTTTTAATGGTGGCAGTGGGTACTAACGCACCTCCCATATGTTAGTTGTTGTTTCTTTTTAAGGTGTCTGATACTCGACAAGAGAGATATGGGAAAGTGAAAGTCCTAAGCAAGATACAACTACCCTAACACGAGAAAAAAAATGGGAGATTTCAAGCTGGATGTGATGTAGAGTTCACAGCCCCTCAGATTATTGTAATGCTTGGGGAGAATGGTACAAAAAACGAAATTCATCCGGATGGTTCCTCATCTCTGTTTTTATCTCTCCATTATTTTGGCTGAATGTGAGTAAATGAAGCTAGTATCCTCATACAGTCAGGTGCATTCCCACGTGAAGAGGGTTGTCATCAGTTTATGCCTCGGGAAGCCAGCAGACAGGTATCTAATTGTCATCAGTTTATGCCTCGGGAAGCCAGCAGACAGGTATCTAATTGATTAACCAAGTGCACATCTAGACGCAAAGCAACGGATTACATTTTCAAAGGTCATAAAACGGTTTATCCAACACACAAAGAAAAGAGATTGAACTTTGAAGTATCCAATTCCAAAGGCTCACCCACAAGTTCAAGATCTTGGCTAATATCACTTCTATTGCTCAAACTAAAATATGATTCTTTAGCTTTCTGTTTGTTTACTTCGTTCTGTATAAAGGTCTCTGCTTAATCAAACCTAAAATGAAAAGCACATGTCAGGATTATTATGGTCTTTTATACTTGGGAAAATATGTTGTACATATATTGAAAAGCCAAAACAATCTTTTATTCGATTTAGCAGTCCAACATATCAAATCACAAAAGACACACTTACAGAAGATTTTGATCAACGTAAGCTATAAAACTTTTGTTGCGAAAGATAGAATCCATGTAATTAATGCTTCCTAACTAAATTTTGTTTTTAAAAGTGAAAAACATCATTGAAGACTAGGTTTTAAGGGTTTTGATATCAAATTGTATAAGTTTTAACCCAAAAGAAAATGAAGGCATGTTTCACAAGTGTCTTGAACAATTTTAATAAGAGGCTAGAACATTCAAAAAGCATTTTAGTCAAAAAATAACAAACATGCGAAACCCAAAATCTCTATTAGATGATAAATAAAATATATAAAAATTGTTTCAAAAGTATGACGGCTATGCATACTTTAAATCTCTATTGTGACTTGATTAATTTGGGTTTGGTAGATACTAGACACTATACTATGCACACCTGATGAACATTTAATTTCTAGAGTATATAGTATAAACACTAATCCAAGCCGGAGTAGGTGGAAACATGCTTGGACTAAACCACTATAATAACACATCTTTTGCCGGAAACAACTCTAACCCTTTCTCTTTAATTGTAACCGACAAACGTGGAGTATTGATTGATCTATCAACCAAAAACCTAATAATAAAAACAATAATTGATTAATAAATTAATACGATAATACGATACACATTGAAATCGGATGGTCCCAAATATTCTGCTAAGATTCGGTCTGATACGACCCAACTGTCAAACCCTATCACACATTACGTTTCTCATATATTATTCTGGATTCTGCAACTTATTCTATGTATAATTTTCTTTTCTGTAACTTATATAGATATATAAGTTTCATTCTTCTCTTCGAGGCACTCAGATCCCATGATCTGAATCAAAAAGAGAAAGAATTAATTAAAAAAAAAAAACACTAATGGCAATTACAGAAACATCAAGATCGAGCCATGAGCTCCCAGTAACAACCCCCACCGCTTCAACCGCGAAAAAGCTAACTTTAGTCCCTTTGATTTTCCTTATTTACTTCGAAGTCGCGGGTGGGCCGTTTGGAGAAGAACCAGCGGTTCAAGCGGCTGGACCGCTTCTTGCTATTCTTGGTTTCCTCATCTTTCCTTTCATATGGAGTGTCCCTGAAGCCCTAATCACCGCTGAACTCTCCACCGCGTTTCCAGGTATCATCAAACCGAACATAATAAGACAAAAAAGATCTTAACTTTTATGTTTCCTGTGTAGACATTATTAAGAACAGTACTGTGTTGTTGTCTGAACACTGAAAATCATGAAAAGGAATCTACTTTGTGACTTTTGATCTAAAAAGCCTGAGACTTTACTGATTTTGATTGGTTTGTATTTGCCTCAGGCAACGGAGGGTTTGTGATATGGGCCCATAGGGCTTTTGGAGCTTTCGTAGGGTCAATGATGGGTTCTTTGAAGTTTCTGAGTGGTGTGATCAACGTAGCTTCGTTTCCTGTACTCTGTGTCACTTACTTGGATAAGCTATTCCCTGTTCTTGAATCAGGATGGCCAAGAAACGTCTGCATATTCGCATCAACGGTGGTTTTATCATTCTTAAACTACACTGGCTTAGCCATTGTCGGTTACGCAGCTGTTGTTTTAGGTCTAGTGTCTCTCTCACCTTTCCTTGTCATGTCAGCTATGGCAATCCCTAAGATAAAGCCTCACCGTTGGGGTAGCTTGGGAAGCAAGAAAAAGGATTGGAATCTCTACTTCAACACACTCTTCTGGAACTTGAATTTCTGGGACAATGTTAGTACACTTGCAGGGGAAGTTGATAATCCTCAGAAGACGTTCCCTTTGGCTCTTCTCATCGCTGTGATCTTCACTTGTGTTGCTTACCTGATCCCTCTTTTCGCGGTTACTGGTGCTGTCTCGGTGGAACAGAGCAGGTGGGAGACAGGGTTTCACGCGGAAGCGGCTGAGATGATTGCAGGGAAGTGGCTGAAGATATGGATTGAGATTGGTGCTGTGTTGTCAAGTATAGGACTTTTCGAAGCTCAGTTAAGTAGCAGTGCTTATCAGCTTGAAGGTATGGCTGAGTTAGGGTTCTTGCCTAAGTTCTTTGGGTTGAGATCGAAATGGTTCAACACTCCTTGGGTTGGGATTCTACTCTCTGCTCTCATGTCGCTTGGATTGTCCTACATGGACTTTACAGACATTGTAGCCTCTGCAAACTTCATATACACTTTAGGGATGTTTCTTGAGTTTGCTTCTTTCGTTTGGTTAAGAAAGAAACTACCTGAGATGAAGAGACCTTACCGAGTTCCCTTGAATATCCCAGGGCTGGTGATTATGTGTTTGGTGCCTTCAGCGTTTCTGGTGTTGATCATTGTGTTTGCTACCAAGATTGTGTACCTTGTTAGTGGTTTGATGACTGTAGGAGCAGTAGGTTGGTACTTCTTGATTAGTTACCTCAGAGAGAAGAAGCTCTTTGAGTTCAATGAAGATGTTGATCTTCTTGACAATGGTAATGGAGACCGTCCAAAGGTTCAAAATCATGTCTCATGATAGGTCTCTGGTTCGAGTGACCGTTAGGACGAAACTAATATTATATGATGTGATTTCGGGTCTGGCATTAAAAAAAATTGTTATGCTTTTGTAACACTTTTAGTTTTATTAAAGAGAAATTGTATTATACAACACAATACTGAAGAGAGTCTTCTTTATTCACTCACACACCCAACACACAAACATGAAACAAAACAAAGAAACCAAAACCCCTTTGAGATCATATCTTGGCTAAGTCAACTGTTTTTTTTCCATCATGTGCCTTCTTGAAGAAGTACTTGACGTAATCAGAGTACACAACGTCTCTGTAAACCGGTTTCTCACCATTTGCGATCACCTCAGGGAGAGGACCAATCACTGACTCTGGTTTTGGATTCACAAAGATTGGAACAGAGATTCTATTGTTGCTACCATTAGCTAAGACACGATGCTCCACGCTCTTGTAACGACCGTTGCTCAAGATCTGCATGGCGTCTCCTATGTTGATGACAAAGGATCCAGGAACGGGTGGCACGTGCACCCAGTTCCCTGAGGTTAGGGAACGTACGTGGAGGCCACCTATGTGGTCTTGTAAGAGGATGGTGAGGGAAGAGACGTCTGAGTGACGACCAACGCCAACGGTTAGGTCAGGGTTAGGACAGATGGGATAGTAGTTGAGGTTGACTCGGATTGAGCCCATGAAGAGTGACTCTTTGGTCTCGTCTAGCTCTTTCACGTTGAGATTCTTTCCTAGATACTTTAGAAGCTTCCTCACCATTGTCTTGGACTTGTTCATGTACTCTAGAGTTTCATTCCTAAAATCAAGGAAATCAAGAATTGTTTATATGAATCAATGATTAAAACATATCAAGATTAATTTGATTATTGAACTCACTTGCAAACATCAGGATAAAATTGGGATGCTTGGTTAGTTCGGTTTTCATTTTTTTTTTTTAGCTTCAAACCGATCTAACCAAACTAAACTTAGGAAAATAACCTAATTTAACATGATTATAAAAAAAACTAATTTAACTGAATTTAACCATAAAATAAATTAAACTGAAATCTAGCCGAAACCAAAATTATTGGTTCAATCTGATATTTTTTTAAAAAAAAACTAACTAACTGAAACCAAACCGACTTTTCGGTTCAATTTGGTGAGATTTTTGCCAAATCGAACTAACCGAAAATTAAATTACCCGAATCGATTTAACCGGATAAATCGAAACCTAAAGATGATTATTGAACTCACTTGCAAACATCAGGCCAAAACTGTTCAGCTTCAGCTTCAGATACAAAGAAGAGACTAAGATAATCTTTCCACTCGAGAGCTTTCTCAGCACGAGGACTGAAACTAGTACCGAACCTAACATTGCTCGACAGAGAATTCTCCTTTGTGAACCTGCTCTTCTCCTCAACAGGGAGGTTAAAGAACCTGTGAGTCGCAGCCTTAACATTATCAAGAACATCCAAAGGAACTCCATGGTTGATCACTTGAAAGAAACCCCATTTCTCAGCAGCCTCACAGATAGCTTCAGCGACTTTGCTTTCATCAGGGTTCGACATGTCGATGACAGGAATGGATTCATCTGTCTCGTTGACGAACTTGTTGATGAGACGCTCTTCAAAAGGTTGAATGTATTGGTCTGGAAGAGCTTTGATTCCTGTTTCTGATAAACCCTTTACGCCGTTGGCTTTGTTAACCACGAACTCGGTTACTTCAGCTGGGTCTGCGAAGTTAACGGTAGAGAGTGTTGGAGCCATTTGTGTTGAATAAAGATTGGAGCTTTGGGTTTGGATTGTGTTTTGGAGATAAGATGCAGAGAGGAGAGAGTATATAAAAAGAGAATGAGCGAACAACCTATAAGGCATGCTTCTTCTACCGTTTTATACTTTTTTCCCGCTTACTTTCTTTTATTTAAATTTTTTCGATTTGTATTCAATTAGTAATGTTTCAAATATATAGGTCATTAGGATATGGTCAGCTGACTCAGCTTTTGAAACTGGCATGGTTTGCTAATTATTTTCGAGTAATTGAAGTAGAGCACATTAATCTTGGCAGAGAAAAAAAAAAGAATAACACGTTACTTTCTATAAAATACTATTTGAATTTGTAGGTAATTCCAATGAAAATTATATATCTTTCAATAGTTTTGACATTTTACAAAATGCAGGTTCTTGAGGTGGTAATATAATGCTGTTCATGACTCAAAATCAATGAAATTTCAAAGGTCATCCATTGATATACTGGATTAGTTTGGTTGATGCCTTGGTGGGGTACTAACTGTAGTGATCCAAAAGTCATACATACGTGTAATAAATCTAATTAATAAGTTGCTAATCATGATTATTGTAAATTCAGGTGTCATGTAAAACTATATGTTCTGGCCTTCTTCTTCTTGATGACAATGTTCTATCCATCATCGACAACAAATAGTTTAGTTAAATGTAGTGTTTTAACTTTTTTTCTTCTTCTAAAATATTACAAACTTATGTCTTTATGTGTGGTCTCATCTAATAGTAGCAAACTTTATAAGCGTACACATTTCAGTCGAGGTTTTCTTGTGACATAACAAAGATAAAACTTTCTTGTGAGTTGTGACATAACAAAGATAAAACTTATGATAAGTAATCTTGATTTATTCATTTGGTAGGTGGAGAAGCATGGACTATGCATGGTTCTTGTTGCGCCAAACAATCTAACTGGGGCTTGTTTTGACCAAGCCTAATGGGCTTTAAATAAGAAAACTAACCTCTCTTCGAGGACAGAGTTGTCTTTTCATGCTCGCATCACTAGGGTTCCTGGGTCTTGAGAAGTGAACCAGAGCCTAGGGTTTTGAATCTCCACTGAGATTTCCTGAAATTCGAGCAGAAACTTGCTGTAAAGGTTTAATTTTTTTTTCTTTTTTTTGTAACAACTGTAAAGGTTAAATAAAAGGTAATAACAGTATAAAAGAAGAGGAGAATCTTGAATCACTTGTATGTATTGCAGGCTTTTGCCAAAACCTAAAAAGCGTAGAAAAAGAATCTAACACTTTTTTAACCTATCATTTCTTGTTAAACAAGAAACCAAAAAACAAATGAAATGCTTCTCTGTTACAGTAAAGGGGAAGAAAAAAGATTACAAAAGAATTTCTAAGTCATAATCTTTCACTATTCACACAAAAAGAATAGATCAGATCGAAAGAACATATTAAGTAGTAAAAAAAGTTCATCAGTTACGAATGTGTGATGATATCTGCAGGTAATGACATTCCTCGCCATAACGGTGACATCTGAGGCGTTTGCGTGTGGGACAAGGATGAGAAACAGAGTCTTGAAACAGAAGCACTTCTCGGAGACAAGTTGACTTGTTCCAGTGCTTGAAACTGAAGCTCTGATGGGTAATCTCTTACACAACCAATTCTTGGTCCTGCACCAGTTGTCCATCTGCATGATAGTTGTTTCCCAAGTTGGAAAGATCTACTTTCCTTCTTTGAATTGATCCTTTTTAGGATTGATTCTTCTGGAATCTTCACTACTTCACTCTCTTTGGTTTCTTGTTCCTCTCTTGGTGAGCTCTGCTCTGAAGGTATTGGTTCTTGTTCTAAGTCAAATATCTCTTCCTCTTCCTCCTCATCATCACCAGAATCATAGTCTTCAGATACTTTACTAGACTCCATTCTTTTCGGTGTTTCGATATTATCCATCACTGGAGTTGTTTCTTCTACTTCTATTGGATCAGCCTTGTCTTGCAAGGTAATGGTCTTCTCAGGCTCCAAATCTTCTTCCAAAGAATGGTTTCTCATGTGAGTGCTTCTTTGTTTGTAAAGAGAAAACTCATCTTCATCTGTAGGACTCATCTGATGCACACAAACAAAACACTTATATAAGAAACATAACCTCCACAGACTCAAGATCTAACAATGAATACTTCACTCATTCAATAAAAAAACTCTTTCTCTTACCTTAACATCAGTGATATCAACATTGTTCTCTCTTAAGAAAGAAAGAAAGTCCAAGAAATTCTCTTCAGTAGGTTGATAATGACCACTATGTGGCCAAACAGCCTTGAGAACACCACTCTCAACAACTAATCTCCCTGCAGCAACAGTAGCTCCTCCAGCTAAGAAACTTGAATGCTGAAACGTACCCTTCCTCTTCTTCCCAACGTACAACACTTTCGACGTGCTGAGCACGAAAATCCATTTGGAATCACTTTCTTCCATAGGAGAAGTATGAAGCATTTCTCCACTGTTCTTGTAAAAAAACTTGCCCTCTTCCACACTAACCTCATAAGCTTTCCTTTCCATCTACACCAACATGATTTTTTTTTAAAAATAAGTTTCTAATTTTATCGGTAAAGTTACTTGTTGAGCAGGTAAAAGAAAATAGATACTAACCGGACCAAGGTACTTGATGCACTGTTGTTGAAGTTTCGAACGAGGACACTTGTCCACAAGATTTACTTCTTTTCCCTCGCCAATATCAAGCCTGAAAACATTTGAATCTAAGTTTAGTTTTCTTGATTTAGCTAAATTTTTTTTATAGAAATGAGATAAAGGAGTCTGGTGAGAAGTAGTTACCAGTAGAAGAAAGGTTCTCTACTCTGACAATGGAGCCATTTGTTGTAGTAAAAGTGCAGGTTGTGTCCATACCGATGTCTCGGGTCAATCTGTTATACCAAAATGAATTAAACCAAGATCAGATTTCAATTCAAAAAGTTGTACTATTAAAGAAAACTAGTCTCTTTATAAAACTTACCGCTTCAAGCCAGTGTTGTAGAGCAAGCTTTTGTGCTTTTCCATTCTTGGATAAACCTTTACCAACCTTAGCTGCTCTAGTCCTAGCTCTAGACCACCTCGAAATCGCGGTTTCGTGCTTCTCAATATCAAAGAAAGATATAGAACTTCTCTTCAGCTCAGCAAAATCCAATAGCTTCCACCTGTGATTGAAAACAGATTAGATCACAACAACACAACTAAAAAATGTAACGTTTTAGAGTTTTGAGATTAAAAAAAAAAAAACTAACCAGCTTTGCTCCACGAGCACTGCACAATCAGCCAGCTTCCTCCTCGTACGAAAACTCTTGTAAACTTTTTGTAACTTAATAGCAGCTTCGTGTTTAGGGTTCTTTGGGTCAAGAACTGAGAGTTCTCTAGCAATCTCTGCATTGTCTAACTCAAAACCGTTCTCTATCATTCTATCCAGTGACATCCCTTTGAAGCTAATAGATTTCTCAACAACCATTTTACCACCAGTTCCCAAAGATTTCAAGATCGTTGGCTCGAGAGTTCTGTCATTGAAGTTAACAGATCTCTTGGGAGTCTTGCACTCGTCGTCATCGCCGAAGCTTATGGACTTAACAGTGACGGAGTCTAGAGCAACTTCCACGTCTTCTTGCTTGGTGAAAGTAGAGGAGAATGATACCCCCATTCAACAGATCCTGATACGAACAGAGGTTTTGACCTGAAGTGAAAAAAAAAACATCACGAATCTGTTATGTCTGAATCACTGATAAAAAATGTTTAAAAACAAATTACCAAAAAAAAGAATGTTAAATAAATTCAAAAATTTTCGGATCTGGAAAACAGAGCAACTTGGAAATGCTGCACAGCAGATCATGGAAATACGAATATAATAACTAAAAATCATTTTTTAAACAAAAACTAATAATCTCTCTTCGAGTGAGGTATTATCAAACCCACTTGGTGTAACATCAAGAAAAATCCAGTTACAAAAAAAAAAAAACCATCAAGAAAAATCGTCACAAAAAAAAGAGTAACTGAAAACAAAAAGATATGTATATATATATATAGAGAGAGAAGAATCAGTCGTACCTCGAATATACGTTTTTTGGCACTTGATCAGGTTTTATCCCTAGAGCAGTAATAGCTTCTTTGAGGAATCTTTTTTTTCTTCTTGAATCTTTTTTTAGCTTTTTTTTTTTTTTTGATCAAACAACAATTTCATTATCTTAAAGTTTCAACCTCCATCAGAGGAGGGAATACAAAGTAGAAAGGCACAACTTGCCATATTACAAACACAAGAAAACACAAGACATACATATGAGTCTTTAAAAGATAAGATAAGGGATCGAATAGCCAATAAGATCCAATGAACATCAAAAGACCAACTCTCTGAAAGGAGGCAACTGAAGTCATGATAGTCTGACTTGCAAACTAGCTTTGAAATGCCCAAAAGGGCTAGACACTCTGCAACAAAGGCAGTGAGGTCAAGATACAGGGGCAATGAGCAACCAAGTCTTCGTGAGGCCAAACAAATATGATGCAATGTGAGGAAGCAAACACTGTTGTTTTTCTTTCCAAATTGCCACCAATGGTTAGAAAACAATAAGTGCATCTCCACGGTTAAAACACGGACATGTGAAACTTTGCATACTGCAGTAAAGGGATGAGTCAAGACAACATAATTGCAACTGAAGAACTTGAGAACAGAAAAATGAAATCCCAAACCAAACAAAGCTATGACTTCATTCTCAATGGGACTTTATCTATTCTCCAAACATCTTGACAAGTGAACTATGAAACTTGAGACAATGAGCAACCAAGCGATGGAAGCAAATGCACAAGACACTTCACGATTCCAACCAGAAACCATATCACTTTTTATATCAAAAACCACTGTATAAACACAGATCTGAGAAACTTGAGACCAGTAAATTAAGAGACCAAAATTAAACCTGACAGAGTTAGAAAGAGCCAGATAGAACCCGGAATTAAGACCGCATACTGCAATAGAATCACAGAATACTACAAGAATGAACACCACTGAAACTGATGGAGTTACTAAACGGACACACAGTATAGTCACTGCAGAGTTGAAAAGGCGACACAGGAACAGAGCCAGGTCCGGTGGGTGGGGAGGAACGGAAAGGACGTGAGGAGGTAACTCGACTGATAGATCTAGGATAAATCCGAGCGGCGGCGGTTCTGGAGGTGGAGGAAGGAGCACCGGCGAAAAGGGACAAGGAACCAATAGAGCCATGGAAGAAAGGAAGAGGAGGGAGAAAGAGGAGTGTTCTCGTCGGTGGGCGAGAGGCCACACCGACGGCGGCGGAGGTGGTTCACGGGAAAACCCTAATTGGGTTAAGAGAGAAAAAAGGGCTTTTAGTTTTTATGACAGATCTAAAGTATATAATCTTTTTTTAGCTTCTGTTCTGTTCTTGAGGATTCGAAAGATTTGTTTGTAATAGTTTTTTTTTCTGAAGTGGGGAAGAAAATGAAGCTCACAAGTCACAAGTTACAAACTCTTGAGCGTTGGAGTTTATATAATACCGTTGGCGTCAACTCCAGAGGGGCAGAACAGGTCGATATTTCCAACCACGTGTTTGTAGCTACAGAAATATTCATTCTAGGTCAAAAGTTCAACGGGAAAATCGCATAAAAAAACTTCAAGGTGGCAATCACTTACACTTTAAACCTTGAGAGTATTTTACAAGCACTTTAAACACTCAAGTTGGCATATTTAGCATATTAAACCTCCAATCTGACTTACTTGTACATCAAGTTAAAAATGTGACCGGTACTGTTCAAAAGCGATGACGTGTCGGTTTTTTTTCTTAAAAAAAAAATATATAAAAATACAGAAAATATAAAAATTCATTAAAAATCATTAAAAATCATTAAAAATTCATTAAAAAATTGAAAAAAATCATAAAAAATTCAAAAAAATCTCAAAATAATAAATTCAAAAATTTTTAAATAAAATAAAAATTAAATTTAAATAAAATTAATATAAGAATAATAGATAAAATAAATATAAATTCAAGAATAAATAATTTTATTTGTTTTATAAAAAACGAGAAAACACTATATTTTTTTAAAAAAAGAATCATTATCTTCAAATGATTCTCGTGAACCAAATCAAAGCAACAAATTAAATTCCAAGTCTTTTAGCACCTAGACTTTCACCTGCATAAGTTTTTTTAAAAAATTATATTGTTATTTGTTTTTCGTGTCACTATTATATATTATATATATGTCATCGAATAATTGAATGTATATGATATATACCATCAAATGATTCTTGTGAACCAAATCAAAGGAAACAAGTTAAAATCCAAATCTTTTAGCAGTTATTAAAATACTCTATATTAATCTAGCTATAAAATCCAGAAAACCTTGACTAATAAGCAACAAAATGACTTGGAATTTAATTTGTTTGCTTTGATTTAGTTCACGAGAATCATTTGAAGATAATGATTCTTTTTTTAAAAAAAAATATAGTGTTTTCTCGTTTTTTTATAAAACAAATAAAATTATTTATTTTATCTATTTATTTTATCTATTATTCTTATATTAATTTTATTTTGGGATTTAAAATTTTTGTTTTATTTAAAATTTTTTGAATTTTCATATTTTGGGATTTTTTTATAATTTCTTTTAAGTTTTTCTTATTTTTAATATTTTATTAATAAAATATTTTAATTATTTTGTGATTTTTTAATGTTTATGATTTTTCTGATTTTTTGAATTTTTCTGATTTTTTTCAATTTTTAATGAATTTTATATTTTCTGTATTTTTATATTTATTTTTAGTNTTTTCATATTTTGGGATTTTTTTATAATTTCTTTTAAGTTTTTCTTATTTTTAATATTTTATTAATAAAATATTTTAATTATTTTGTGATTTTTTAATGTTTATGATTTTTCTGATTTTTTGAATTTTTCTGATTTTTTTCAATTTTTAATGAATTTTATATTTTCTGTATTTTTATATTTATTTTTAGTAAAATATTTTTTTAAAAAAAAAAACCGACACGTCATCACTTTTGAACAGTACCGGTCACATTTTTAACTTGATGTACAAGTAAGCCAGATTGGAGGTTTAATATGCTAAATTTGCCAATTGGAGTGTTTAAAGTGCTTGTAAAATACTCTCAGGGTTTAAAGTGTAAGTGGTTGCCACCTTGAAGGTTTTTTATGCAATTTTCCCAAAGTTCAACTCAAGATTTTACTTTACCCAATTAATTATTAAAAATTAAAATATGGTGAGGGTTAACGAGAAAAGGTTTCAAAATGACTAAATCCATTTATTTTTATCATCTCAATTTGACTTGAACCATTTTTGGTGTATAATTAGTAGATTTTTAACGTCACCCTAATAGAGTGACGTAGTTGCATTCGTGGAACTTTAAAGTGAATACTATTCGTTGATTTTTTTTTAAAAGATTGTCATGTATATCAATTTAAAAGAATTTGTTTTAATAAAATACGATTTATAATGAAATTTCCTTCTTCCTTTCGGGGCGACCCACAGAATACTACTCTATTCGAGCAAAGGTATTTCGGTGGGTCAATAAAAAGTAAAAACAAACAAAATTATGGAATTGAATAAGCATATAATTGAGTGTTATCATTTCTATCAATCTCTGTTTCGTGGTGTGAAGAAGGTTTAGAGATTTCTAGCGGACTGCAGTTTGTTTGGAGTAACGACTTGATAATTTAACATTCAAGCTTTTTGCATATAGCGACAGTCTATTACATAATTTATTACAGCATAATACATTGAAATACACCATTTTTTTTGTTCAACCTCATTGAAATACACCACATAATACATACATTTGTACACTTTCTCTTCAAAATCAGACTGATAGCGATTAATGTCCTCATATGTTATGCTTAAAAGCAGTAGGAATATTATTTGTAAGTTCAAAAAAAAAGCAGACCTGAAAAACAATAGGAAAATTAAGATCTTTGGGTATCCATATATATTGTATATATTAACATGTACTACAAAACTGATACGATGAATATAAAGTGAGTATGCATTTTTTGTAAGTGTTCGCACACTAATGTGTTAAGACAACTGTAAAATGGATCTCTCAAACCGTAAATATTTTTTTTTTAAAGTATTTATGGAGAGAAGTATTTCGATTTTTTTTTCTTTTTATTTTTAGTTGTAAAACATGCTATAACAATTCACCACCACTAATATGCTCCAAAAATATTTATAATGGGGTATCTCCAAAAAACTCTTGTGGGAATTAAAGAGATGTAAATAACAAGCATTAACTAATGATTAATTTAGATTACTTTATAATTAGATTTTAGTAAATCAAGTTTTTGAGAAATTTAGTGGATATCTCACCAATACGGATGTGTTAAATAATTGTGTGAACCACATTTAGATATCTAGTGATAAGCGAATTTTAGTGAGGTAAGTGACCTGAATTCGAAGCATTTACACGATACCAAACATATATGGTAACGTAGATATGAGATCATATTTTAGGTTCTATTTAAATAGACAACTAGAGTTTGACCCGCACATCCGTGCGGGTATATTTTTATTTAATAAATATATAACTAAAGTTTTTAAATAGATGATTTATTTTTTATTTTTAATTAAAGTTAATTGATAATTATATTTAATAACAAAATAAAGAAATAGTTATTTATAGAAAAATA